AAAGTTTGATTGAGAATAGTGGCAAACAGTTCACATGTATGTGTGTGTTTTTTTGTTTTAAGTCATTGGCTGAGTTGCACTCGATGATGGATGAAGCTTCGTTTACAAACAATTGCAATAAAAATCACGTTAGTTTAGTTGGTAAACACTTATTGGTAGCTATTGAGTTCAATTTAAAACATTCTCTTCTCTAGTTGCATCATATGGAAATTCTTTTCGTAAAATTTCATGACTTCATTAGAAATTTGATTGGCTCAATTATTATAATGAATGTCCTAAATGCAATGCTTAATAATTTTTTATTATAATACTTCTGAGAGATGCAAAACTAACAACATCTCTCGTATAAATTTGATGATGTGCGAAGAATTTCGATAGTGTCGATCTTCTGACAGTAAAAAGGGGAAAAAAAGAAAGGGCTACATTTTTTGAAGGCATAATACATGTTAAAACCAAATGAATGAACGCTATGGGTCAATGAAAGCAAGCTTCTGGATTCAACGAACTGCTAAAGGTTTGAATATTGATGTGCTGAAAATCGTAAAGTGAATAAAAGTTAGTAAGGAGTGTTCTGTTGAGAAACCTAGTGATCGGTTTGTTTTGAACGAATGAATACGTTTTGAGTGTTTGCCTCAACAACAATTCAGCAAATTTGTGAGTTACATTATATTATTCTGATTTCATTTCCATACTGAAAGTGTGCAGCTTGGACATGACAGCATATTTTTTCGTGTATTGGCGATCAAATTAAGTTATTGGCTGCAATCTAATCTGAAAACTCATAACAATAAACATGGAATAGATCACTTTAGAGTGACGGCTGTCAATGGATTAATTGAATTGGACACTGCGCAGTTGAATTGTTGGTTGCTTTGGGCGATTAACAAAATATTCATTGTTGTTACGAGTGTCTACTGAATTGCTATTCAGTTTTAATGTGATTGGAGAAACGATGGTATGTAGTGAATAGATCAAAACGGGTGTGCACTGAGCCAGCGATGTAATTGGATTACGCTAGGTATTTAAGATTCAATCGGTTCAGAAGGCTTGCGTTCAATTCTGTGTCGATCTAAAATCTTTGTTGAATTTCGAAGTCACTGTTCGAGATATTTGATAAATATGGAGAAAATAAGAGGGCTCAGTTTCAATTGTTGTGTTCGATTATGCAAAGCATTTAGGACATATGGCTGTGGCATGGTCAACTTGCCGATCGCTATGAATCAGTTCGATTACATTAATCAAAATCATTCCTTGTTAGTGATTCGGAAAGATTACTGGCTCATTACTGCGATTGGTTGCTTCCGAAAGCGACTGCAAAGGATCGCTGCTCGCATGTTCTCTCGATCAACTGGCGTATACTCTCACAAATCATTCAGCAATATGGAAGAGCAGTTCAATAGCTTCATGATCACTAAATCATCAATCGAAATGAGAGTTTCGAGAAGACCGACTATTCCAGTATTAATATCATTAGCTATGATGAAAGAAGAATGTCAATCAAGCAAGAATGCGATATTGGTGATAAGAAAGAGGTGAGTACAAACTCGTGATGAGTGCTGAATGAAAAAATAGATAAAAATTCAGAGTGTTGAGATCTTAATTGGACGTAAACACGAATAACTCTATCTTTCGAACATGTGTCTTAAAGTACGAACGAAAACAATAACAGCAATTCTAACGGCATGAATATAATGAAGTAATAGCAAAAGTGATGATAATAATCACAACAATGATAACAACAACAAGAGCAGCAGTGATGCCTAATGAAATAACATTAATAGCACGGAATCAATGATAACAGTGGTAATTTTGTTATCTTCGTTCATTCAGAACGGTAGCAATCGCCTTCGAACACTATGGTTTGCAAACACGCTGATATAAACGCTGAAATGTTTGCGATCTCGGGACGCATAAAGGCAGTCCAGTTAAACTTGGTTATAGCAAGAAAACAACAATGAACAACCCCTTCAAAAGTGCATATTAGGGATTCTGATTAAGTGAATGGTATTTCTTTTCAGTACGAGATAACGTTGCACATAGTCGCAATACTTCCACGAGCATGTCAGCACTTGTTCATTGAGTATGCGATCTGGATACTATCATCAATGGACGTCCACTCTTTTTGGATTATTTTAGTGCAGAATGTCATACAATCGCAAAGCCTAGACGTTATAGATGCACAAAGTTCGTTCAGTCAACACCAAACTTCCGCAGTAAGCAGTCTCTTCAAGTATCTTTTTCCGATGTGTTTTGCTTCTCAATGCTGCATTGAAAATCCATCATCAGGGTACTCTGTATTTAGACTTGATTGAGGGTAATCAGAGACTAGACTAGACAGTCAAATGCGAGTTAAGAGAGTAACTGAGAACTACCGAAGCGTACACTAGATTGTTTTCAATTAACAGACGACAAATTTTAGATTCTGAAGAATCGATTCTGAATTCACAAAGGAATACCACAAGATGAAATTAATCGCAACGAAGCGGAAACTAATAGTGCACCAGTGAATGTCAACCATACCCAGAATGGATACGAGGCAACTTTTTCTGCGCCCTTCAAAGAAGTCTCAATTTCCTCGAAAATTGGACGAGCGAACTCACGCATATCATCTTACTGGTTATGAATTGTGTGTGCACAAGCGAAAATGGTCCCAAGAGTGTTCGAAAATTGTTCGCAAAAACATTTCGCCATACAACACAATGTCATAATTAGAATTCACAAGCTCGAGGCAATTCCAGACGGTTGATTTCCGACGCAATAAGGGATTTCACTTGGAATGAGTGTAGATTTTTGATTTTTTCAAAAGTAATCATTCCGTTTGTGAATGTATTGAATATGATTGTGTCTAAAAGCAACCCTTATACGATTAGAAATTTTGACTTAGAAAAAAAAGAAATTAAAAATTCTGAAATATTTAGTCTTCAAATACTTATCGTTCTGTTAGCGAAACGTTGGGTTGAGTTCGCAATTAAACAAACTATTCGAAGTAATTGTGAAAACAGAGCAAAGCAACACCAGCGATAGTAGACGATCAGCTGTATTCACACCGCGTTATTATGTTAACGAGTAGTGTTGTAAATGAAAGTGTGAGCGTTGTGTGAGTTCACGTCTTATTCGAGAATTTTTGCCACTATCACAATGAATCATTCGGATATGAGATGCTTCAAAGATGCGGCAGAAATCAGTGCATTAAGAACAAATGCGTTAACAACCGCCTGCCACTCTGCAAAACAATAATGTCACCAGATGATTACAACAGCCACAAGAAATATGTTAATTATACATAATATGTTAACGCATACACATACACACATATATCTGCCGACATATATCCATCCATCCACACGCTGACACTTCTTTATAAGTGTGTATTTATTGATCAACATGATCCATTGGATGTTTATTAGAATACATATGGATATGTGTGCATCAAACGGAGTAATGGATTTAACGTAAATAATAGCATAAGTCATAATGATGCATATGAATGAATATCGTTCATTCCGGGAAGTTTTTGGAATGCGGTACAAGGATATAATGCATTTGCTATAGTGATCACATTGGGAGCAATTTGCTCTTTGAAAGTTACCCTTCTCACTAAATCAACAGCAACGAAGATACGATTCTTCCTAAGCAGATATCCGACGAGATCTGCTTAATCTATATTCATAGTGTTTTTTTCTGCGTCTTCATTTTGTATTCATTAGCAATCTAGTGAATAGCGCATTTTGTGCGAAAAATCCATGAATAAATGCCGAGAGCGTATTCTTAGCTGACGTCTTTTGAGTGAATAATCATCGAAAGGATGGATCTTTCCGTGAAAGTTAATTGAATTTTGAACGCAAATTATGTCTGAATGACTTTCATTCAATTCGATGAATTACTCCTTGATGAAGTAAATTTGATATATTTGCCTGATGGATCACTTTAGATAACTTTGTAGAATTTTTGATGTTTATGCTTGAATTCACTTGAATGATAAAATGATTCTCTGAAACTGCCGATTTAGAATTTAGATGAAACGTTAAGAAGATGTTAATGTAATGGTGTGGGATGATTTCGAGAATACTGAAGTAAGCGAATTATAAGTTTAATTGCGTATTGAGAGCGATGATTTGTTGTTGAATGCTGTAAATCATCGAGTGGCGATAACAGCAACAATTGCTTGCGTTCGTTCATCGCTAATCCTTCGATTGTGTAACACAACAACTTTGAATTTCGATTCGTAACGAACCAACAATTAAACTTGTACAAAGCGTAATGCGCAATTGCAGACCCCTCGTGAGATGGTTTGCTCACGGGAGTGATATCGCATTTCATTGTAATGCTACCTGAACATCTTCGATTCATGAGAGCATTCAAACTGAATGCTGCTTATTCATATGTAACACCAGTGAATGTCAGCACAGCTTAGGCTTTCTCAATTAACCATTTGATACCTCAGATCAACTAGACATTCATTCGGCAAATAACACGATATATCTTATTGTACAATAGTATTTGAACCTGTTGTTTAGAATTCACTGAAATTATTTCAATCGAGAACAAATTTACAGCGGCTAATTGAATTCTATCATTGATTATTATGGATAATGAGATGAATTTGGAGAATCGCTATAAATTCTTTGAATCAAGTGAACTTCATGAAATTTTTATGAATGCTGGAGTTGAGAGTTTTTTGACTGATTCGCATCGAAATAAAGATATGAAAGTTCTAGGAATGTTTTTGCGGGAATGCTGTTTGATTGTTTCGGCATTCATAGCATGCTCAATTGAAGACGACTTGCACACTGTGTTTTGCTGGAAGAGTTGAGTTTATTCATTGACAAATTAAAATTCGACGAATTAAAACATTCCATTGATGATAAAAGATTCAAAAAATGAGTCAATTTACTTTGGCACTCAGAAAATGTGAATATCGTTTGTCATTCGCGGTCACTTGGTCACTCCTTTGCTCGTATATAGTTGTAACGAGTGGTGAATTCAAGATTTTGACAAAGTCAAACGTTCATCTGGATGTCAGCTAATCGATGCAAGCTGGTTCGATAGCGATCAAAATCCTTGTCATCGACCACTTGTATTCCGTCTTTTTCATATTCTGTATACTTTTTTACCAACTCCTCATCGCATGCCACTTCCATACTCACAATACGACCTGTCAAGAAATACGCATCAGAAGTTGAGACGTGCAACTTTATTGCTGGCAATTGAACAAAAGGTTTGCTCCGATT